CTTGACAGTAGCGTTGAGCGGGCATTTGTCCTGGAAATGGCTGGGCTTGCCACACTTGAAACAGTTCCCTGAGGGCGCAGGGACTGCAGTTCTCACACGTTCCAGTAAGGCTGGCTTGGGGAGGAACGGGGTCCTAGTAAACGTGGCAGGTGTGGCTCGAGTTGGTCTCGACGCTGACGCCTTGACTGTATCGGTAGGCCGTGTGGAAGTCCTTGTGGTGGCAGGGAGCAGGTTCAATTCATTGTTCCGGCGCCGTTCCTGATTAAAGGCAGTGAGTTCTCGGACCATAGTGTGGTAATCTCCCTTCCATTGGTTTTTAATAACATGGGAAAACATACCTTCCTACAATGGAGAGCTTCAATTCGGGACCGACTCATAGTCAATGAGGACCACTACCTTACCGACGTCTAGAGAAAAGCATTGATATGGGGAACTACGACCGGCCTGGCTAAGACCTACCAATACCTGTCTGCTACACATGGGTTCCACAGTGCCGAGGAGATGATGGACCTACTAGGCAATGAGACGGAACAGGCCAGGAACCTCTTCAACGACCTGCAAATGGGAGAGAAGGGGCATGCTAGCGAAACCTTCCCAGAGTTCAAGACTCGTTTCCAAAGTGCAGCTATCACAGGACAAGTCTCTGAGTTGGAATGGTTTCGATACATGTGGAATAAACTGACCCCCCAGTTTCGTAGCCGCGTTTCGCTGAGCGGAGTGATTCTCTCCGAGATGGTAGATTTCTTATAGCGATTCAGTGGGTCCTCGGTGGAGGCGTGAGTTGCTCCGCAGCTTTGACTGTGGGTATGGGGGCATCCACCGGCAGTGTGGACGGAATTCTGGTCTGGGTTGCCGTCAGGGTAACTAGTAGATCCTTGACCTCCTGTATCTGTGCTTCGAGGTGGGCCATTCGACTCGGGATGTCTTCGGATGGCGCAGCGGTCGTATGTTACGACGGAACAAGAAGGCTGGCCAACTACAGGACAGGAAGGAGGGAGGTCGCATGAGACCGGCCCTGGTACCTGGAGGGGCAGCGGGGAATAGTAGTTCTGAAAGTATCACGTGACGGACTCGCAGGAGGATGAGAAGAGTCCTAAGAGTCCAGGACTCCGAGGACTCGAGTGAGTTCCCAGGAGTCCACTAGGCACGTGATGGACTCGCAGGATGATGAGAAGAGTCCTAAGAGTCCAGGACTCCGAGGACTCGAGTGAGTTCCCAAGAGTCCACTAGGCACGACGCCACTATATAAGTAGATAGTATTTCCTTAGATAGGAGCTTCGTGCTCAACTCAATACAGTATTTGTTATATACTAGTAACGTGTTACTTGAAGCCTTTGTGTCTGATCCCCTGCCTCCTCTGATAAGTAAACCTTTACGCAAGAGAACCTCTGTGTCTTCTATCGTTTAGAAGTCAGCGTTACATCGTAGCTGCAGCAGTGGTTTGTCTGGTAGTCATTCTAGGCAGTTGACTGTCGTTGTCTTGGGGTGTGTTTGATGTCGGCTTTTTCGACATATTGCCTCGGGTGTGTATCGGTATCGATACGAAAGAGCTTGACTTCCAGTAGCTCGTAGCTATCAACACTCTTGTCCACAATCTCGTATCCTATTTGGCACCAACGCGTCAGCGACTTTACCAGCTTGTTCTGAAGAATCAAACCCTGATCCACTGGCTGTCTGTGAGATCTCTGGAATCACGGCTATTTGAAGTCATCAGGTCTCTCCTTTGAAACGTCACCGAGTGGCGGTCGATGTCGTAAGGGTAGTTCTCCCGAGTCATTCCGGTGTGGGATATTATTGAAGTACGGCCGTCCCTGGCAGGCGTGATCTTTTTTGTATAATGTAAGGACACAGGGCACCCAGCTCACAGCAATAGCAAATGAGAGTGCGAGTCGGAGGTTAAACGGATGCTATCCTATAGGTCTACTATGAAGGATAAACAATATGAGGGGGAAACCCCGTGAGTCAATCTCCTCAAATACCCGAAACCCATCTGACTCGGTTAGCCCACCCAAATGATCACACGTGACCAGGGGAACCCCATGAGTCAATTCTCTCAAGTACCTGAAACCCATCCGACTCGGTTAGCCCACCCAAATGATCACACGTGACCCACAGCTACTCAGAGTCTGCTCCTTAGAGTGAGATGAGAAGGCATCCTTACATTGATATTATGTCGTTCTTTAAATTGTTGAAGCCAGCCTACACTGAAGTCTGGGCAGCCTGTGCTGTTGTTATGTGGAAGGCGTTCCCAGATTTGTCGCGCCTTTTGTTGAAGTAGATCACCAGTTGTAAACCCTCCATTCGACTCAATTCGAAGTTCCCAAGTAAGAAGAAGCTTTTCGACTTCAGGCCAGTTTCCAGTTCGTAATCGTGCTCTGTTGGTATTAGGAGCTTCGTCAAGGCTGTCAAAGTGATGGCTGAGAGACTCAGAGGCTGTCGACTGGCTAGGTTTGTGGTTATACTGCTGGAAGAACCATTCAATACACTGCTTTTGAGTTGGCTTTTGATGTTGTTTCTGAGCCCAGGCACGAAGGGCACGCGTTGTTCGAGTAGAATAGGCTGCTTTTGAGGCATTCTGAAGGTCAAGAAACACACATTGGTTGATGGATAATACGATAATTGGAGGCAGAATGATGATTATCTTAAATATCAGACAATATATGGTGTTTTGATTCAGTGCGAGAAAATATATCGCACAATTGAATATATCTGCTAACCGAACATCGTCTTAGCAGCATTTGACTGTACAAGCTGCGAGCATAGAATTTCTAGAAGCTCTATAACCTTCGTATATGGCATACGCCTATTCTGACAAGAAGAGCTTATAAACTCAATAACCTCGTCAACTTGATTGTCGGATAGGATAAGTGGCCTGCCCGACCTCTTTTTGGAGTTGGAGCTCCATGGCAGGCATACCGTGCCTGCTGCTCTGTACAGCCTAGAGTCTCTGCTATTTGCTAGAACTCCCAATTTAGAGAGCGAAGGACAGAGCACTAGAGCCGCTCATTGCGAGTAAGGTGATGCATGTCATACTGACATTCGTTGCACTCAGTTTGCTATCAAACTCAAGAGCAAACTTAGAAATCTCCTCCTCAAACCTACAAGTCACTATACATATTTTGGCTTATCACACCAACAACAAGAGCAATACTACTCAATGATTGCTACAACCCTCTATGATTCATTACACGTCATTGCTCCTTAGTTACTGGGCCGATACTACCACATAGCATATCTCTACAACCCTCTATGATTCATTACATATCATCACTCCTTAGCTACTGGCTAATACTGTTACGATGGTCATAGAGGTTATGATGCCAGTCCAGGAAAAGTAATCTAGATTGAATCTAAAGTGAGAAGAAGAAGAAGAAGGAAGGAAGGCGAGGCTATTCCTCATAACATACAGTTGTCTGCTTAGCGGTTGTAACCTTGGCGGCTAAGGCTACACCCATAATCCCCATAACAACCGTAATAACTGTAATAACTGTAACAACCGTAACAACCATAACAACCGTAACAAGCTGTGACAAGCTGTGAGCTGTAATTGTAACACTACCCCCCCCCTAGTAAGATTGATGTCCTGATCGAGAGTAAGATCATCGTGGCTTCTGCGGGTATTTTCGGTGGAAAGCTTGTGTGAGTTCAGGTGCATTGTTGAAGTTTGTAGCAGGATACCAAGTGTTGTCTAGTGGGTGGTTCTTCCATGCTGCCATATAGAACAGCTTCTTCCGTAGGAGTTTAGAATCTAGGATTTCTTCAACTTCCTGTCATACTGACAATCGTTGCACTCAGTTTGCTATCAAACTCAAGAGCAAACTTAGAAATCTCCTCCTCAAACCTACAAGTCACTATACATATTTCGGCTTGTCACACCAACAACAAGAGCAATACTACTCAACGATTGCTACAACCCTCTATGATTCATTACACGTCATTGCTCCTTAGTTACTGGGCCGATATGACCACATAGCATATCTCTACAACCCTCTATGATTCATTACATGACATCACTCCTTAGTTACTGGGCTAATACTACACATGACATATCTCTATCAACTAGAGGCCTAGGAACATGAACGATAGCTCCAAAAGCTTCTACAACCCTATATGATTCATTACACGTCATCGCTCCTTAGTTACCCACAAGATTGGTTAAGTTTTGACGTAATTTGTCTATAGGGGTACTCTGACCTTGGACCCCCTTTCACTTCCTATAGGCTAGGAACCTAGGAGATGGTTCTATGGGATTCTCTTACGTCGACTACAGTTACCAAGCCTGGTTAGTCATGGAAAGTCTTGGAAAATGAGAGAACTACACTCCTTTAGCATAAATAGGATTGCCCTTTCCTTAAGAAAGGGCAAGCAGACAATACAGTAAATCAACTATCACATACTTCCACGTCTTTTCCAAGCTTCCAAGCATTGATCTTGTACAAGAACTACAGCAGAAGTGGATTGATTCACTTTTGCTAGTTTCAACAGGGACCGTGGGTTATTAGCTTTAGACCACGGTTTAGTCTGAAGATTTGGGACCAGACCGGACCATGGTCTGGTCTAGGGTCGGTCAACCGATGGGGTCGGTCCCCTACCGATTCTATAACTTCGCCATGCTCCACCTAGTAGTCTACTGCTTGACTTTAGACTAGGCTGCGTCATCAAAGGAATAGAACGTGTTATTTTTGTAACCCCTTTCACAGCCGAACCTCCTCATCCCCGTCAAGATTTAGCTAACCCCCCCGCAAAAGGGAAACTAAAGGGACTCAAAGTAGGATTGAGATTCGCCATCGTAACTTGAGGCGGAAACTCAGATATGCCCCGCTATTCCACCGGATCTTCATTGGAACCAACATTGGCGTCTACGCGCAAGAATTAAGGCCTAGTCCACTTTGGTGCCCCTGTGGCTTGGCCGACTGTTTCATCCAACATTTTGTCTCGGAGCACCTCACCCTGCACTTCTACCATTTTAAGGTCTCCATGGTTTTGATTGGCTCGTTACCATGACTCCAAAATGGAGACATACTGTTATGGAGAAGGACGACCTAGTGTGGGAGCAGCTCGAAGACGATCTCGAAACGTGGACAAGGCCGTGATATATCGCGGAGTTGCGCGCTCATCCTGAAATACCGGCCTGGTGAAGCTGTGGAGCTTCACATGCCGATTAAAGAGGGATACAACGCCTTCTACCGCCTCGAGTATAAAGATGGCTCATCGACTGGGATGAGAATCCCTTGCAATGGTATAGTGGAACAACAACGCCCTGTGCGGCCGGGGGTATGAGACGTAGCTAAATCCAGAGCAGGCATTGTCAAGTTCCCCAAAGAGAAAACCCGCTACGAGGTAGCTATGATGAAGTATGTAGCTGCAAACACTACTATCCCAGTGCCCAAGATTTACGGCCGGGGCACCGCTGAGAAGAACCCCACTGGTCTCGGCCCATTCATTCCTCTACGGCCAAATGGCCAACATCATCCTCCAGCTCTCCATCCTCACCTTCCCCCGCACCGACTCCCTAGACCAAGACTCCAACGGCACCATCTCGGTTTCCGATCACCCCATAACAATGAACATGAACAACCTCATCGAGCACACCAACATCCCCCCCTCCATCCTCCCCACCCACCCATACTCCGCCCTAGCAGACATGCACCTCACGCAGCTGACATTCCAGCACAGCGACGCTAAGATGCGGATGATGAAGTCGTTGCGAACGGGATAGCATCGCTACTACACCTCCAGCACCTGGCTAAACCAGCCTCGCCACGCGGGGACAGCTGGACTTTTGATTTCCTCTTCTGGCGATACCGAGACGGGAAGTTTTTCGAGCGAGGAGAGGGTGTTTGTGGAGTGGGGGGAGGAGGAGGCGAAGGCTTTTTCTGTAGTAGGTAATTTGGATATGCCTCAGTGTCGGTTGACCGTGAGACAGCAGAGGAGACCAGGGGTAGAGGTAGAATCGGATTGAATTCCATCATATGCGATGCTATGCTATGTATGTACTGTACGTAGTATTATATTACCCCCATCATCTGCATCCAGGCATTCCTTCCCTGATTCATAATACACACATTCTCCGATCCATCATCCATCAATTATACATTATCTCCCTCCCCTCCTCTCAAAAGTCGCCCAAAAAACAAAAGCAACCTCCCTCCCAAACGCCCAATCCCAAAAACAAATAAACCCCCCCTTTTCAAAAAGAAAGACACCCAAAACACCCTCACAAAACAGCCCACCCAAAGTAATAAAAAGGGGCAGACAGCCCACGCCAAGCTCTTCACTCGATCAAAGCCTAATACTCTTCCTCCCAATCCCCATCCCCATCGCCCCAAAAACCCCACTCTTCCTCCTCCCCAACTTCGGCACCTGCGTCCCCTTCTCTTCCTCCTGCGGCGGAGGCGGCGGCGACGCACAATCCGGCATCGTCCTGGCCTTCTCATTTGCCGCACGCATAATATCCTCATACCTCACCGGCGCCTGCTGCTGCCCCTGTCCCAGGTGCGACGCCGGGCGCTGACCACCGGGCCCAAGCTGAGACGGCGGGCGCTGCGAGATAGGTCGCAAGTACGTCTGCGGCTGCAGGAGGGTATTCGCGCGCTGTGAAAGCGGTGTTGGTTGAGGCGGCGTGTCAGCGCAGCGGACGCAGCGGGCGCTGTGGATGGAAGTTGTGTCGCTTCCTCTCCTCCCCCTGATCGACGCTGCGATTTCCTCCTGCTGTAGCGCCGAGACAGGCGCCACGCTACCCCCACGCTTGCGCTCGCTCTCACGTTCCTCTTCCGGTTTCCACCCACTAAACCCCAGCCCTCCCATACTGGGCCTCCTCCTCCCCTTCGCAGCAGCAGCAGCGGCTTCAGAGCCCTTGACGAGGCCGCGACGCACGTCGCCGAGGCGCTGTTTCAGGCCTGAGGTGGAGGTTGTGCTTAGTGCTGGGGACAAGGGGGTGGGGGAGGCGGACAACCTGGGGGAGGAGGCGGAGAAGGGGTCTGTTTCGAGGAAGGGGAGGGAGGGGAAGGAGACGGAGGGGAAGAGGGAGGCGAAGCGGGGGGCGGGGGCGGTGGAGAGGCGGAGGGGGGTTGGGCGGCGGGTTGAGGATGAGGTGAAGGAGGAGGGGGGGAGGAAGGAGGAGCGCGAGGCGAGGGTGCTTGTTGTTGAGGCGCGGCGGGGGGCGGAGAGGGGGCGCGGTTGGGGGATGAGGATTAGAGTTGCCGGACCGACGGCGACGAGCTCGATGGCGCGGGCGACGTCTGGGTGGCGGGAGTGGCGGGAGTGGGTTTGTGGCCCCTCTGATTCGGGTTCCGGGTGTGCTGTCTTGACTGGGCCGCGCACTACGGCCTCAGCTATGAAGGCGGGTTCGCATTCGGCGTCCGAGTCGGAGGTTGACCCGTCGCTCTCGTCTTCGTCTTCTTCGGACGAGGCGGAGGAGAGGTATGTGTCGTATGGATTTGAAGTTGATAGCTCGGGTGTGCTCGCTGGACTAACCGGCGTGGTCGTGAGCGCAGGGCGGGGAGGCGGCGAGAGCGCCGTCAGCGCAGAGAGGTCTGTGAATTCGAAGAGGCGGGATGCGCGCAGGGAGGAGCGCGGGGGGAGGGCCGGGAGCATAGTTGTTTGTGAGGTTGTGGTGGTGAGGGTGGACATGGTGGTCGCTTTTGAGAGGGAGTCGGCGCCGGTCGTGCGCTCGGGGAAGGGGGGGGGTGTTGCGAGGAGGGGCATTGTCGAGGTTGAGTGTGTGGTATGGGCGAGGTTGGTGTTATCTGGTATATGGTATATGGTATAGGTTGTGGTGGGAATATCGAATACAGGATATTCTCCGTATGGCGGTGAACCCCCCAGCAGTTCGTCCTTTTTCTTCCTGGTGGCGAACACAATGTTACTTCGTCCCGTCGATCAGCGCAAACCCTGTCGTCGTCGCAGCAAGGGATATCAGTCGTCTTTCGGCGCCCCAATTCTCTTCGCCAGAAACTTCTTTCTATGCGCCGTTCGGTCGTATCTACAGATCATCGACTCGCGCACACGACGCCAGGAGGGCCAGGTATATAAATTCCCAACCCGTCTAGTCAGCATATCCCTCCAGCGCCAGGGTCAACACCCACATCCACAAAAATATCCACCACACAGGCAGCACACGAACCACACTTAGTTTTCTCCGTACGGAGCACGCCGTAACCAAAGTATGCACGCGCCCACGCACCCGACTGTCCCTGCGACATCGAGCAAAGAAGCCGTAGTCGGTGCTGGTCATAGCCAAAGGGAACGCGTGCGCATGGGAGTGGTAGGGAGGCGACGGCGAGGGATTGGCAGACGGGCGCTAGCAAGGCGCGTTTCAGGTAGAAGGACCCCTGGCGTGGCGTGTCGATCAGAAGGTTCAGAGGCAAAGGAGTGCTATATGTACTGTCCTGTACGGAGTACGGGATCTCATGGGTCAAACATGGAGAAGCATCCCTTGACTGTTGGAGGTATGTCGCCTGTATTGTGTTGTTCTCATTGTTAGTCTTATACGCCGTCAGTCTGTAGTCCATGTGCTGTAACGTACTGGACACCCATATCTACTCCGTACTCGTCGATTGTGTTGGATCAAGGAGATGAAAGATGAGATGAGATGAGATGAGATGAGATGATGAGATGATGAGATGATGAGATGATGAGATGATGAGATGATGAGATGATGAGATGATGAGATGATGAGATGATGAGATCAAATGAGATGACATGACATGACATGACATGAGATCAAATGACATGACATCAAATGACATTCATCAAATGACATGACATCAAATGATATCTGGATAATCGTCAGCGATCTCCATCGTCTCCATCGTCTCCATCGTTTCCATCGTCTCCATCGTCCTCCGTTCCTGCCCAAGATATGAAGATATAGCTCCCGTCAGAGTCGGCGACTCGACCCCGAACAGGCAAGGACATTCCCCGAAAGCCTAGCGTAGTGCTGTCGATGGCGCTGGTCGCCGTCATCGCTCCACTGGACTCCACCCGCTATCGAGTCCACTTGGCGCGCTGCACGACATTACTCTCAGACAGAGTTGGAAGTATTTGCGGGCCAGGGATGCACAGGGGCTCAGGGGAGAGGGGGAGAGGGGGAAGAGGGGGAAGAGGGGAAAGAGGGGGAAGAGGGGGAAGAGCCATGGTAATTGGTTGATGGGGGGAGAGCGACGGTGATGTCAGGATTGATCGCCGTGATGGTGGCGGAGCGAATGGATTTCAGATTGGAGATGGAGGTGTGTTTGGCATGTGTAGGAGGATATGGAGATAGGGGGCGGTAGAGCTGGCGGGGGGTCGACGACGAGGGTTTTCAGACTAAAGGGGGAAAAAGGAGCCCATGCATCCATCCCCTGCATCCCCTGGCTGCACCCCGTACGTTCCTGGTGGATTCAACATTTTCGCCGACGAAGCTCGGAAGGGGCGAGAGAAGCATGGGCGTAATGTTTGGCATATGGAGAAACAGGGCGGCTTGGAAAACCATGCATAATTATTCATAAATTAACTATAAAAGAAATAATTAACGTATTTCCCAATCGAACCGTGCGTCTTCCTTCCATACAACTACTCGAGTAGTTGGTGTGGTTGGTTACCTGGGCGATTTGCTTATCTTATCTACACGTGCGTCGATATTTATTTTGCGATCTACAAACGTTTTGGCAAAGGGTCCTCAAGGTAAAATTAAGTCCTCAACGCCATTAATACCCATAAGACACGAATAAACCAATAGAGCAGGAGCAACTGCGCCTCTAGATCTCTGCGACACCACCATCCCAACGATACTACCCTATATCGCTCTACAATCAGCCGACACAGCCCGTCGCATCCAGAACTCCAACCAGCCAGGCACCACGTACCATCTCACGACCTCCACAATGTCCTCTCAAGACTCTCCCCCACCCTCCCGCGAAACCATCGCGCGCCAGCGCTCCCTCCTCCGCTACACCTCCTTCGGCGCGCTCGTTATCTGCCCGCTCCTGATCGTGCTACCACCGCGCAAGATGGACGTCTACACCATCGCGGCGCTGGCGTCGACGGGGTTGAGCGGGAACTACTTAGTGGGAGATTACACAGGGAGGACAATAGTTGACCGGGCGAAGTTTTCTGCAGCGGGGTTTATGGCTGAGAGGGCGGAGGAGAAGAAGCGGTTACAGGAGAGGATCAGGTTGGGAGAAGTGTTGGCCAGTGCGACGGATAGTAGGCCCAAGGAGGGGTGGAAGGCGCAGAGGGATGAGAGGGAGAAGAAGGCGGCGGAGGAGGGGAAGGGGTATGGGGATTTGATTATGGATCAGATTTGGGATGTGTGGACTTGGGGGAAGGGAGATAAATAGGTGCGGATGGGATGAGGAGGAGCTGTATGATCAGAGTTTACGACAACAATGAGCTAGAAGTGTATATAAGAGCGTAGCTCGGGATGGGGTTATCTGGCAGGGCTTGTAGTAATGTGTACAGTATGGAATATACCCTTCTCCCGGTATCAACCACTCATACACTCCCTATGCGATTATATACAGACATTGAAGCCAGGGTATAACTCGCCTCCACTTCCTCGATCAACATTAATTTCATGTAACCCTCCTCCGTTTCATCCTGTCCTCCTTCCCCTCCACCTCCGCCTCAGGCGACCCCCTCTTCTTTCCGAAACTCTCCCTCTTAACCCTCTTCTCCTTCTTCCTCTCATCCGCCTCGAGTGTGCTACTTCGCCTCCTCCTCTTCTTACTCCCCTCTTTCATCTTCAGCTTCGCCCTCTCCTTCACTTTCAGCCGCGCCTCCACTTCCGCTCGAAGATCATCAACCTCCACTTCCACCTCCTCCGGAGGCGACACCCGCTCCACCCCCATCTTCTTCCCTCCTTGTAGCGGCACAGAATGCGACGCAGTCCCGCCCTCCTCTCCGCTCGGGCTCGGGCTTAACAGCTCCTCCTCTTCCACTGCATTCCTTCGCTTCGCGCCACGCTCCCTCAAGACCTCTGACCCGCCGCTGCGCCGCCGCTTCGTGTTGTTTTCCACGCCGCCCACTTGCCCTAGCATCTCCTTCGTATTTGTCAAGAATTTAGAGATTGTATCGTGTCGCGCCGAGGCAGGCGGTGAGGTCTTGAGGATCGCGGAGAGGATGCGGGAGTGCGATGTTAGGAGGGTGTGGTGCTGGTGTATAATCTGCGATGGAGTTAATCGGGTGCACTGTGAGGAGGTTCAGGGAGGGTAATGCACCTCTGTCCACCAGTCGTCAGAAGCTTCATTTTGAACTGGCCTCTTCTGGTCGTGCTGGCCTGTCCGTGCATTATCCTGGTCACTTTTGCGTTTCCGATGTGCTTTCTTGACTGGGATTATTGGTCGTTGAGGGAGCGCTATACTAGCCATTATGTCTGCCATTTCGGGTGCAATTTAGAGCAAAGGCAGGACTTTGTACGCCACCGGGGGTCAATTCAAGCCTTTGGATGTGGAAACGACGCGGATGGATGGTTGGAGGTTGTCCTCGAGTTTTGTTATCCTTATCGGCTCTTAATTTGGAAGGGACCAGAGCTATCGGTGTTCCTTCCCTGACGCCTCTCTTAGCACACAGACCACAACTCACCGAATGGTCCATATCACCAACTGACTGAGCTGCCTACGAGGAAACGAATACCCATAGTATTAACTTCTATTTAAAGCTAATAGATTGAAAAATTGGCATTTTTGCGGCGTAGTAATGCCAGCTCTTGGGGTCAGGGTTAGAAACTCGAGTATACTCGTGAGTATTAGCACGTACTCATACTCATCAGTACGATAAATCCTCGTACTCATACTCAAATACTCACGAGTTACTCAAGTAACTCATAAGTATTCCCTAATTAGGATTAGCTCTGCTTAGTCAGCACAAAATTGAAATAGTTTCTAGAAAATAATTTATAAAATAATTTACTACTTACTAATACAATAGAAGGGATCTAGACACTAATTTATAATATAATTAGTAAGATAGAAGGGTCTAGAAACTATAGTAGAAACTTCTAGAAAGTTATTATTTTATATAACATAACATAACTGTGAGCAAATGCGTTCTCTCAAATTGCGACCATAAGTACCCAACCATAGTAATTTATATGTAAAAGTACTTAAAAATTCAATTCTATGAAATTATCACTTCTTCATTCTCACGCTCACTCTCACTCCCACGACCACTCCCACCCTCAGCTCTCATACTGGCTCTCAGATTTGGCTTCTGGGTCAGTAATAGGGTCTTCCAACTCCGGAGGAATTGGGAGGCCTGATTTAGTGAGCTGAGCTATGCTCTTCTTCCGGAGGCGCTCCCGTTTCCGGGCTTCGATTCCTGCCCGGAGGAGCTGCTTCTGGGCTCAGGTTTGGGCCTGGCTCAGTTTCTGAGCTTCTGCGGCAGCGAGCTTCTTGAAGTCACGGCGCTACAGCAGGCAAATGCGCTAAAAAAGCGAAGGGCAAACAAGCGAAGGAAGCGTATTCAATTAGGTGGGAGCTTGACAATTGAGGAAGGTGATGAGCTCGGAGTACTCAAACTCAGGAGGAGGAGGGTGGTGATGCCACACAGGGTCAGCGCAGGAAAGGGAAACCACGACGATGTGGCACTAGAGTGTTTTAAAGGGTTGTTGTTATAATATACCTACGAAGTTGTATTTTGGTGGTTATTTTGCATGGTTCGATTGGGAAATACGTTATTCAAAAATTAACTATAAAAGAAATAATTAACGTCCTCCACAAGCGAGCGTCGCATACAAGTGAGTGTCGCACGCGACGAACACAACGCGCTCCTTATGTGTACTGCAAGATGCCTCAACAAGTTCATATTCCATCAACTAATTGTTACGACGGAACAAGAAGGCTGGCCAACTACAGGACAGGAAGGAGGGAGGTCGCATGAGACCGGCCCTGGTACCTGGAGGGGCAGCGGGGAATAGTAGTTCTGAAAGTATCACGTGATGGACTCGCAGGATGATGAGAAGAGTCCTAAGAGTCCAGGACTCCGAGGACTCGAGTGAGTTCCCAGGAGTCCACTAGGCACGACGCCACTATATAAGTAGATAGTATTTCCTTAGATAGGAGCTTCGTGCTCAACTCAATACAGTATTTGTTATATACTAGTAACGTGTTACTTGAAGCCTTTGTGTCTGATCCCCTGCCTCCTCTGATAAGTAAACCTTTACGCAAGAGAACCTCTGTGTCTTCTATCGTTTAGAAGTCAGCGTTACACTTTGAGCACCACTTCTACGAGATACCGGCTTACACACAAAGCAACATGTCTGTCGTCAGTTCGAAGGGGAAAACCCCCACCACGCCAACTTCGTCTCAGAGGTCTAAGCCTGAGAATGAAGAGATGCCCGATGCACCCACCGTCAATGAACTCAAGGAAACTCTACGCGTCAAGTTGCCCGACACTTACTCCGGCAACCGAAAGGAACTTGAGGTGTTTTTGCTACAGGTCGAACTGTACCAGCACTTCAATGACGAGAAGTTTCCCACCCAGGAGAGCTATGCCCTGTGGACTGCGTCCTACCTTAGGGGGGAAGCCCTGTGATGGATCGAACCATTCCTCAAGGACTATTTCAAATATGAAAGTACCAATGGAAGCATGACAACTACGCAGACTATGTTTGGCAGCTGGAATGGATTCTGTAAGGAAATCCGACGCATGTTCAGAGACATCGATGAGATTAAGACCGCAGAAGACCATCTGTTTGCACTTAAGCAGACTGGCAGCGCCCTCACATACTCCACAGAATTCCAGAGATACGGCAATCAGACAGGATGGGACGCCAGCGCACTCATCAGCCACTACCGACGTGGGCTGAAGAGCCATATACGTATGGAACTTGCCCGTTTGGAACAACAACCAACGGACATGGTAGCGCTAATCGAACATACGGTCCGAATCGACAATCGACTATACGAATTCCAGAAGGAACGTCGGACCTATGACAAGCCCAAGAAAAGTTACCCCTACCGGGGAAACGAGGGCAGACGACGGGATCAACACCCGCGAGACAACCGTTGGTCGGACCCAATGGAACTCGATGCCACGTTCAAACCTGGACGACCCCGTGACCCTAAGAAAGACAGACAATTCAAGGAACGACTCTGTTTTAACTGCGACAAGCCAGGCCACATGGCCCGAGACTGCAGACAGCCAAAGAAAGGGAACGGCGGACGCAAAGTCGGCAAACAACTCAATGCCACCTGGACAGGACAGTTGAACGCAACGTTTGTGAACAAACAAGACTGGGGAATAAACGGCGAAAGCACCCCAGAAGACGAGAGCTCAGATGAAGGGTCGGAGGCGGAATCGTTCACCGTCTCGGAACAGGAGACCTTCGATAAACTCGCACCTACGGAACCAATGAGTCCACGGTGCAAGAGCGTAGTAAGACGCATGGCAAAACACGCCCACGCGAAGATTAGGGCCGAACGAGACAAGCCCAGCGGCCAGAGGAGAATCCCCACGCTTAAGGGCATCTACGGGAACCTGTTACAGGAACTTCCGTTAGAGTGCAAGGTGGACGACTGCAAGGATGACCTCTGGAGATACTACGACCAACTAACGAATACCCGCAGGCTGCTTGGCACGTCCCAAGACGTAGCTAAGTTGGAAGCCCAAGAAGCGGAAGAACTGGAGAAGGATGTCGAGCATATGGCTAAACTGAAGTATATGAAAAGCGTCAAACTTTACTACCAGGACCGCAGGAGAGCCCTGAAGAAGTACGACGAGAAAGCCAGAGATATGCTCCGATGGGAAAATGCGAGACCCACTCCACGCATCGAAAGGAGAGCCATGGAGCAACTAGACACGTTCTCCACGCCTCTGAGGGAAGATAGTGCATGGGTGAGAGGACAGCGGGAACTATCAACGACAGACGCAACAGAGACTGATCATCCCTGGCATGCGTATGTCTACTGGGAGTATTGCAGCGAAGATGACTGCAAGCTCCACTGGAAAAAGAAACACCAGAATCAGTTGTTTCCCCGATCCTCGCCCAGGATACACTTCAGAGATGCAGAGCAAGTTCACGCCCTCAGGCGAAGCCAGTCTGAAGGGGACTTGCCTATCAAAAGCGAACAGGTATACGAGAAATACCCACATCTGCTAGACGAAGCAGAAGAGCGAGGGAAACGATCTCCCCAAGGACCACCATTGGAAGCGGATGAATACTATCCTTCCTCGGACGAGTCAAAAAACTAGGAGTCCTCGACGGTAGGCCACCGGCGAGCGACACGAAGAGGCCTAGTACAGACCAGCTATGCGCCACGACGGGCAGCATGCAACTATATGTGGTCGCTAAGATACAACAGCGACACCTCCGAGCAATGATTGACTCAGGAGCGACGGGCAACTTTATGACAAAGAAAGTAGCAGACACGCAAGGTTTCAAGACGCAATTGAAAACCGAACCATACCCGTTAATGGTCGTAGATGGAGAGCCCATCTCGACTAATGAAGGAATGGTGACCCACGAAACGGTCCCATTGGAAATGGTCATGCTACACGGGCACAAGGAAACGATTCAGTTTGACATCGTGCACATGGACAACCATGCGTGCATCCTTGGTATGCCATGGCTCAAGAAACACAACCCCCAGATCGACTGGTGGAACGAGAAAGTTGTGATGAGCCAGTGCGCGTGTGAACAACGGACGGACACGCGACAACGGGAGAAACCCTCCCAGGGCCGGAAGGAGTTATGTGCAACCTCCGAGCTCGATGACCTAGCCCAGGCATCCTCACCGACGAGTATACCGGTGGAGTACAAGGAATACGAGCAATTATTCCAGGAAGGCCCTAAGAACGAGGCGCTTCCTAAGCACCAACCATGGGATCACGAGATACCCTTGGAGAAAGACAAGAGTCCACCGTTCGGACCAATATATCAGCTATCGGAAAAGGAGCTGAAGGTACTTAAGGAGTACATTGATGATAACCTAGCGAAAGGATTCATCAGACCATCCACATCACCAGCAGGAAGTCCGGTGCTTTTCGTACCAAAGAAAGACGGCTCCCTACGGTTATGTGTGGACTATCGAGCATTGAACAACATCACAATCAAGGACAGGTATGCCCTGCCGTTAATCAACGAACTACACGATAGATTTCAAGGAGCAAAGATCTTCAGTAAGCTAGATCTGCGAGGAGCATACAACCTGATCCGAATCAAGGCTGGGGAAGAGTGGAAAACAGCATTCCGCACCCGCTATGGCCTATTCGAGTATCAAGTCATGCCCTTTGGGCTAACAAACGCACCCGCATCTATGCAACGACTGATGAATGATGCTTTGCATGAATACTTAGACATCTTTACCATTGTCTACTTAGACGATGTCCTGGTGTATTCAGCAACCAAGGAGGAGCATGTCAAGCATGTCAAACTCGTCCTGAAGAAACTAAAGGAGTACAGCTTACTCCTCAAACCAGAGAAGTGCGAGTTCCATAAAAACCAAGTCGAATTCTTGGGTTACATTATTGGAACGCATGGCATCAAGATGGACCAAGCAAAAGTAACGGCAGTGTTGGAATGGCCAACACCGACCACGGTCAAGGAAGTGCAAGCCTTCCTAGGCTTCGCCAACTTCTACCGAAGATTCATCTCGGGATATTCCAAGGTAGCTCAACCACTCACGGAGCTTACCAGAAAGGATCTCGAATTCAAATGGACGGACAAGGCAGAGGCTGCTTTCCAGGAACTTAAGACGAAGTTCACGGAAGCACCTATCCTTGCTACATTTGACCCTGCAAAGAAGATCATCCTCGAAACGGACTCTTCTGACTTCGCAATTGGAGCATGTCTGAATCAACCAGACGAGAACGGTAAGTTCAAACCAATCGCGTACTACTCTAGGAAACTGTCACCCGCGGAACTCA